CAAAATGGCTTGAGCCAAAATGGCTACGGAGGAGGAGGAGGAGGAGGGGGAGGAGGAGGACGCGACGCGTGCGATTTCCGCGAAATCCGCTGCCCGCGCCACTCTCATGGCGATGCCATCGACGATGGATGACCTCGCCAGATCCAGCATTGGCACCACACCCCTTTTACACCGCACCCGCTTCCTACCTCCAGATTCGAGCTGGTTGCAGCGCTGGGCCGGGGTGGACTGGCAAGTGGCCGCGCTGGCCACTGCGGTCTCGAAGCGCCTGGCCCGGTTGGCCAGCCGCTGGCGTCAGCTTGCACGCCTCGGGGCCTCGCGTCTGTCTGGTCTGAGATCCCTCGGACGATTGGTGTCGGGAGCCGCCGTTCCTCGGAGTCTTCATCGTAGCCATGTGGCTCGGCTCAGCCTTTGGGCGACGCTGGTGGGGCGCTGGTGTCCTAAATTGTTGTGCGTTGCTCGGGCACGTCGCAATCCTCTTCGTCGCGCAGGGTCTGGACTGGCCTCTGGCCCACCCGCTGTAGATTCCGCGGCCTGCCTTGCAGCGCTACTAGACCGCCGGCTTGCCCTCTCGGCACCGTTGCCTCGCTGTTTCTTGCCAGGCGACGGGGCGATATGAGGGCCTGCCGCGTTGTGGTTCGGCGGAGGCGTCAGTGGGGCTTGCAGGCGTAGCCTGCAGCCCTTTCATGGAGCGATGGCGAGGCGCGGGCGCATGGCCCCCCTGGTAGCGACCCCGCCGTGCAGTCGGATCTCATTGGACAGGGCGCGCGAGAGGACAAAAGACCCTTCAAAAGGCCACGTTGCCATAGGAATGCAGAAGGCACGGGTCGCGAGAAACAGGACACAAGGTACCCTTGATTTGGCAAGGTCAACCTACTGATCCGGGCCGACTGTAGGCTCATCCGCCGCTGTGGTCTCTGGTGAAATGACAGTTTCGGTCGGCCCTTGCTGGAGGTTGTTCTTGGTGGTTCACGGTGGTCCAAGAGATGGTAGACTCTTGGATGCAATCGGTGGTGTCGCGACCGCCTCGGCGACAGCAAACTCATCTCTGGCGGTTTGCTTCCATCCTGCGCATCGCACTTCGCAGTGCCATTTGATGGAAGTGAGGACCTTGGCGATGTGCGTTCTCATTGCGCTCTGGGGCCCCATGCCCGCGACGCGGCACTCGGCGTTTGCGAGTGCGGCATCAGTGCCCGCAAGTTCGAGCGAGACCTGCGCGACCTCGCTGGCACGTGCCAAGTTTGACGTGTGCGACCACTCTTTTATTCGAGCGGATGGCGCCGTAGGCGGTGTGCCTTCGGGAGGTCGCGCGTTCTTTTTGGAGCGCATTCTGGTGGCCGTCTGGGTACCGTACTGTGATGTGATCACTGGGCGGTGGTCCCTTGGTACCATGGTAGCTGACATCGAACTGGATGCCCCCCCTGTCCTGACGTGGGTAAGACCATTCGCGCGGTCGCCAATTTGATGCCAAAGGTGGCTGTTAGCCTGCGTTTCCCCGCGCTCGCTCCGCGTCGCCCCATGAGCTTCATGGGCCCTTGGGGGGGGTGGACGGTCTGGAATTGGAAGAGAAAGGCGGGCGTGAAGGCGTCTGTGAGGTCATCGTCCAGTTATTGCCTCGCGCTGGCTTGGCTGTCTTGTGGCGCTCCCTGGCCTTTTGCTATGCCGTACCCGTGCCGAATGGGGGCGACATCTGAGAACTGGGCGGTGAACGCGTCCTCCAATGCTGGCGTGGCTGCAGTGGCGTCGGCCTCGCACATGGCGGCACGGTTCCAGATGACGCCGTCGGCTGGGTCGAGGGTGACCTGTACCACGTCCTGGAAGCAGTTGACCTCGGCACGGCCCCGTTGATAGATGGATCCCACTTATGTGTCCTGGCGTGGGCTTAGTAGCCTGCGCCGTGCGTCGGAGGACGGGCAGCAGTGTCTCTTGCCCTGGGTTATCGGAATTGATCGGTCCCAGGACTGCTAGTGCAAGGGTTTGTCCTGCCGACGGATCTGTCGTAGGCGACGGCTACCATGTTCAAGCGGGTGGAGTGAGATGCTGCTAGTGTATGATGTCCCGTCTTCCGCCCTGTTGGGGGCGAGTGCGACGGGGACGTCCCCGTATAGTGCGTCCAAGCTGATGAATGGCGGCTGAAACCCGTCTCGTGCATGAGGGAGTAGCGCAGCATGGTGTAACTGATTGTGCTGTTCCCGCACAGCTTCATCAGCTCGCCCCTAGGCTTACAGTCAACCCGGATAGTAAGGATGCGCGATTAGGATGCAAGGGCCTTGGACGCCCACTTCGAAGCGTTTCGAGCGGGGCGCGGCCAACGAAAGTGGCCAAGGATGGACCGAGGAGGCAAGGATGCAAAGGTACCCTTGGGAAGGTTGCCAATCCTCACTATACTGGTTGACTGTACGCTTACGCTAGTCGGAGCGGTGTTGTCGGTAGATGTATGTAGATGTTCTTTGACGCCACCACTGTGCTGGAGTGCGGCGATGCAGGCTGTCATTCGACTGAGGTTGGTATCCTGTCGATCCGTTAAGGTAGCCTTTGGTGGGCGGCCCGTACTTAC